TGTGAGATCAGTGAATGAAGTTATGGAGGTCAGTGGTGTTTCTTTCTCTGTCCTCTAGCCAAAGTATTCAGACTCACTGAGAGCTGACCATCAGCCTTCAGACAAGAGATCACAACACCACAACACACTTCTAATGTGTCGTCAACACAAACACATCGATGATCATATTCTCTACTTTATACTATAAATACAATTCACTTTGACCCTTTTACCTGTGACTCAATCAGCTCCTTCACCTTCACAACAATAAATAAGATATTATAATAAACACATCAAATAATGACTTCATAATAAAAAGAAACATAACATTGGAATACATAACTCAACACAACAAAGACACAATGATAATACAATATTACATCAGTAATAAGTAACAGTACAACATTGCAGAAGTAAACAACATACAAAAGATTGACAGTGTGAAGAGTTCATGTTTAAAGTTTTCAGTAGACACATATTTGAGTAAGCAGCTTTATTTCTGAGAAGCAGGACAACGAACAGGTGATGAAACACAAAGTGTCTTACTGTGAAACGCTCCAGTGCTCCTCTTTGGTCTCTTCTGCAGCAGCAGGTCTGTGTTGGACTTTAAGGGTCTGCTGGTTTCATGTCTTCACATGCTGCCAGCAGCTGACACCGACGCTCTGCTGGCCGAAGGTCAAAGACAGTTAAGTGTGTCTAGGACCTGATGAAGTTATTCTCACATAGAACTGTTGGTCAGCTGAGCGGAATCTAAATGTTTACTGAATTACCTCTATAATAATTATAATAATCTAAATCTAATAATTCTAAAATTAGAATTAATCTCCAAACATTAAAGTCCAAAATATGAATGAAAAAATAAAAAGATGGACAATATCAGAAACATCTGATTACACGATTTGTTGATCGACGGATCAGCTAATATTTTGTTAATCCTTTTTAAGCCATTCCTCAATAATGATTTAAAAAAGACAATTATTCTCTGAAATGTGAAGATCTCTAGATCTTGAAAAAAGTTCATAAAACCAAACAAATAGTTCAGAGGTTTGAGGGATAAACTGGTCGTATACAGTTAGAGGATAGAGCCAAACACAGAGAGACAGGAGCAGAAGGATTTCTGAAGAGATTTAATCATTAAACTAAAAAAGTCCAAAACAAAACTTGCCGAGCAAGAAGGTCCAAAAACGTGTAACAAGAAAAACAAGGAACGAGCAAAACAGGATCAGGATCTCAAAAAAAACAATCACGGGGGAAAACTGGAAAACACAGGAGAGCTGAGCTGAGCAGGATTAACACAAGGAACATATTATCATAATCACAGCAGACGAACCCACACTGAGACACACAGGATTTACATACACAGGTGAGCTGCAGGTAGAGGAGACACAGGTGGGATCAATCAGGGCCAGACAATCACACAGGAGGGAAAACATATAAAGGCAGGAAGTGAAGAGAACACAGGACAAAAGAGGCAGGGAACTTCAAAATAAAAAAAAATAAACTAAACAAAACCCCAAGACCATGACAGGTGCAGATCAATCGATAAATACTGCATTAATATTATTTAATTGTATTATTTATTTAATTTATTAGTCACTGTACGGATTATTAACACTATGAGAATGAAGGAATATGACTGGTGGTTTGAAACAAATTAAAGTATGCACAATGAAAATAATGAAGTGTAGCGATAGCACCGCCTCTAAAGTATTAACTTAAACAAAGGTAGTTTAGTTTAAAACTACATTCCAGCTGCAAAGTTTCAAAGTTGTTAAAAAAAGTTTCTGTTTATCAAAAGAATGTCTGATAAACTTTGAGAGAAAATGTAACTACTTTTGTTAAATATGAAAGAAAGAAGATGATGTGGCGGTTTATTCTTCTCTTTTCCTGTTTGAGTGAAGCTACACCTGTAGAAATCGTCCTGAGGGGGCGCTAGAGAGTAATTTAATATAAAGGGTTCATCCTCTGGAGAGAGGAAATGAGGCTGGGACATTCTCAGATCATCTCAAACTGTCACAGTCTCTGTGAGGAACCTCAGGTTTCTCCCTGAGGTTCTCCACTTTTTCTCTTTAAAGCTCTGTAGTTTGTCACTAAAGAGAGACAACGTTTGATATTGTTAAAGTATTTCTACAAAGTGACCAAATGAAATGTGGTCTACATGAAGACTTTACGACTATATGAAATGTGGTCTATATGAAGACTTTACGACTATATGAAATGTGGTCGACATGAAGACTTTATGACTATATGAAATGTGGTCTACATGAAGACTTTATGACTATATGAAATGTGGTCTATGGGAGCAGTTCTACATAAGACATGTTGAAAGAGGATCTAAATGTTTAACCAACGTCTTCAAACAGAGAAAACTCTGAAATGCTCAGTGGGATGTATTATTGTTGGAATGCTGTTTTTTTTAATGGGTTTCTATGGAGAAAATGTTCAAATCCTCTTGAAATTTCAAATCCTTCTACTTCCTCATACTTTCAGCTACAGACACCATTTCAACTTTAAAATGTTGAGAAAACCCTGAACTATTGCCACATAATTCAGCTTTTTGATATCTTTTAAACTTTTTGAACTGCAGCAATTTAACTTTTATGATTTTTTTCAGTCCTTTTCTGACTTTATAATGGGTGTGTATTGCGCAGCTTAGAGTGCGTGATGTCACCGCTAGAGTGAATCTAGCAGCTTCAGAATCTTGTGAAAAAAAGATTTGTATTTTGCCACTGTGTCCACAATCTTCACTCTTCATGAATAATTTCTGGATTTAAAAGTAGCTAATCTTGTCCTTGTCGTAGACAAATGACTGTGGAATCCCACAGACTTACACATTTGGCTCAAGCAGCCACAGAGCGACATGAACTCCAACCAACTGCTCCATTAGACTCCATGTTAAATCTCACCACTCATTTCTCAAAGAAAGCAGACGGTACCAGTTTTATATATTGCGCTGGAGCTCACATTTTTAACACCACAAACATAAAAAACACATCTCTGTGTTTGGCAGAGTCTTATCTCTCTCATGGTATCCATATTTTGTTGATTAGTCTCATGGTTTTGGTATAAAGGGCATATGTTTGACAGGTACTTTTGTTGGAAATCACTGGTTACTCTCTCTCTTAATTAGCCTCTAACACACAGGTGCTCCAATCACCAACATGCACCCAAGCACACAGGTGTTTATATGAGCTCATTAGTGATGTTGATAAACACTCAGACACACACGCACATACACTCCTCTCCCTCTGTCTGTCTCTCTGTGTGTCTCTCTCATACAGTCATTTAGGTCTTGGAGACTTTTAGACCCCCCCCCCCCCCCCCCCATTTTAAAATAAAAGCTGCACACACATGATTTAGAGATATACGTGATGCAGCTCAGCCAATCAAATATGGGTATTCTGATAAGTTTCCTGATTCGAGTGACATTTACACACACCGCGACACAAGAGGGAGAGACGAGGAAAGACATGGCAGAGCAGGACAATAGTTATGTAAGCTGTAAAAGATAAAACATAGGACAATCTCCAAATGAGAAAGATTGCCAGAGAGATCAGTCTCTCTCTCTCTCTCTCTCTCTCTCTCTCTCTCACAGGTCTTAGAGATTTTAAGAGGACCCCCCCCCCCCCACACACCCCTTTTCAAAATAAAAGCCCCAAAGACTGAATTCTAACTGAAATGCTTGTGATGAAGCCTGTCATTCAATAACCTGTTTGTGTGTCAAACATTAAGATTATGTCTCCTCCTCTCTCCCCCACCCAGTCCCACCCTTTCAAAATAAAAGCCTCATGGATTAACTGTATTTAAACGTTAAGCTCAAAATTAGGCTTTTTTGTTGAAATAATGAATGCTCTTACTAATACTGTGACAACTACTACTACTGCTGCTAATATTTCTAGTGTTACTACTACTACTACGACTGCAACTTTTGCTGTTGCTAATATTACTACTACCACTACTGCTATTACTACCACTACTACTATTACTTATACAACTGCTACCACTACTGCTATTGCTGCCACTACCAGTACTAATACAGCTATTAGTATGACTGCTACTAGTACTACTGCTATTACTGCTACTTCAAAAACTGACTTTACTATTACTGATACTACTACTTCTACTACTTCTTCTAATTACTAATACTTCCACTAATACTTCTACTACAACTACAACTTCTACTACTACTGCTACTACAAATATCACTAGTGCTACAACTAGTACTTATTCTAATGCTACTAATATTTCTACTGCTAATAATACTTCTACTACAACTTCAACTACTACTACAACAAATATCACTACCGCTGAAATTTTTTTAAGGTACAGAAACCGTTCGAATATCAAAATGTTCAGCTCTTTCAGGAGAGGGGTGAAATGACTTCATATTTGTAATCTTTCAACTTTTTAAATTATTAAGCTTTTTGCAATTTCTTTTTAATGGGATCTCTATGGAGAAAATCTTCAAATCCTGTTAAACTTCTTCAACTTTCAAAGCCTTCTTCTTCTCATACCTTCAGCTACAGACACCATAGTTAGACATTTCAACTAGAAGGGTTTTCAGCAGTGCAGTTTAAATGCTTTCAGGCTTCAACTTTTTCCAGACGGGTAGTCTCCCATTTCTTAATTTTCAGCAATTGTTTTACAATTAAATTCAGCTTTCAGCATTCCAACGCATTTTCAGCAGGAAATGCATTTTCTAGTTATTATTATTATTTATACTTCATGAGCTGATCAACAGAACAATAAGTGACAGCCAGAAGATAACGGCAGCATACAACAGTATGACTGTGGAATAAAGAGGGAAAATATTTAGAACTAAATCAAATAAAAACACGGTCCTGAAGTAAAGTTCTTGAACATTTGGATCATGAACTCTCTGATCCTAAAACTGTGAATGAGTTTGGTCTCCTACAACCAGCCGTCACCATGGAAACCGGTTCAGCTGCTGCACTGCAGGGCTTTATCCCGGGTTAGTCCGGTTCTGGTCCGGGTTCAGCCCGGTTCTGGTCATCCAGACTTTATACCCAGTCAGCTTCACAAGTCTTCATTCATATTTCTGACTATTCTACCGATCACAGATCGAACCGGACCTGCAGTAGCTTAGAGACCGTGAAAGAGGGTCTGAAGTCCGGATCGATGAGCTTTACGTTGATCCGGTAACGTGTGTAACGTGTGTAACGTGTGTAACGGGTGTAACGTCCTCCGTGTTTGTCAGTGATAAAGGCTGCTGGTTCACTCAGCGTGGGCCGACATGAGTCGGCGATGTTTCAGGGTTTCCGCACTGCGAGCTTTAACCGACACAGACGCGTTAAAGCGCAACAGATGTAGCGCAGTCCGGCGTGACGCTCCTAACGGACAGCACGGAACCATAGAACCGGGTCCGGACTGGACCTGAACGAGCCTTTGTAGGGGTGCTGGATGTCCGCCGAAGAGAGAAACACATCCACTGTCTCCGTTACATGTGGGATGTTCACGGATTGTTACATTCTTAGTCCCGTTAAACAGTGAAAACGTTCAGTAACGAGACTTTAGGACCGAGTCCGGTGTGACTGGAGTGTTTTAACGGCCTGAGAGGAACAGATCCTCCGGTAACTACGAAGGTTTGTTTCTTATGCACAATCTGCTTCAAGGTTGTTGAGAGAGACAGAGAGAGGATCTGGGTCGGGATCGGATCACCTGGTGGTCTCACTGAAACCAACCGGGGTATTCTATTCAACAGATGCTCCTCAGGAAAGTGGAGATTTGACTGAACTAATCGCAGCCCGGAGGACTTAATATGCTCCGAATAGAAGAATGGACCGCGGTGATCTGTGAAGTGTTCACTTTGAATCTCTGACCGGTCGCTACGTTCACAGAAGAGCGAAGATTTCTTCAATCATCAGAATTGTGAACGGAGTCTGGCGTGACGGACACAGAGCGGGGATCTCCTTGGAAACAGCCCCCTGCCTCTCTCTCCTCCTCTCAGGGATGCTCGTCTCTCACATCTCCCACTAACACCCAGTGTGGTACTGGGAGCCTTCCAGTGACCAGATGTTCTCCAGCAGCAGGATGACGGTGAACCAGTCCAGCCTGCTGTACGGACCGCTGGAGGAGCTGCAGGAGCTGGCCTTCATCGAGAGGCCGATCCGCAGGAGTCTCAAGGTCTGTAACCTCTTTATGATGATAACAATAATAATAATAATAATAATAAACATGATGAACATGAATAACATGAAGCTGCTTCTCTTCGTCATCACCACTCATGTGAATGTGTGGTGATGAAGATGAAGATGAGAATGTGACATGTTGTGTGAGTCAGTGGGAGGAAGATGAGCAGAGGGGAGACCCGCTATCTGCGCAGCATGACGCAGTTTCTGTCTGTCTGTCTGACCGTCTGTCTCACTTCAGACAGACAGACAGACAGCTGGTCTCCCGTTCTTCTGTCACTGTCAAATCCATCGATATTAATAATCAATGAGTCACACCAAATCTATCATTTATAATCTATAATTTACATTTATTGTTTTTAATATCGTTCACATATTAACATATTAGCGAATTAACATATCAATACATTAACATATAAACATATTAACATATTGATACATTAACATATACAGATATAAAAAAACTGATATCTTTCACATATTAGCATATTAACATTTTAGATCAGGGGTCTTCAACGTTTTTCAGGCCAAGGACCCCCGAACTGATAGAGACATGGAGCAGGGACCCCCGACTATATATATTGTATACAACATATAAACAAATTAACATATTGGAATATTAGCATATTAAACATTAACATATAGACATATTAACATATTAACATCATTCATCCTCAATAATCAGTTCATGCTCATAAATGGTTCTATAATAAATGAACGTTCAGTGTTTGTTATATCTTTTATGATTATAACTGTTTTACTTCATTATCATCAATTATCTGAATATCAACACTGATGATAATAAATCATAAACACAGTTATTATATCTTTATACACTGATTATATCTGATAAATGGAAACCTGACAAACCAAAAGTTATTTGCTGTTTATTAATATTAAATGAATAGTGAACAATTAATCACTGATATCAGATGATATCATATATTAATGATTATAAAACATATTTACTTATGTAAAGAATCATCATTTATGTTTCAACTGTTTAATAATTATTAATAATTATTATAAATAAACCTCAAGCTGAAGTGGGCGGGGCCAAGAGCTGATTAGTTTTCTTCTTCTTCTTCTCTCACTGACAACTATGTGGGAGAAGGGGTGGGGCTTAATGTTGATGATGACGTTAGGGGGCGGGGTCTGTGAGTCTTCTTATGGGCGGAAACCCCACGTCATGACGACGCAGTCACACAACCCCATTTCTTCCTACACACACAGACACACACATACACACACAGACACATTTACTTTCAATGTAGATGTCTGACCTCTCTCTCTCTCTCTCTCTCTCTCTCTCTATATATATATATATATATATATATATATATACACACACACACAGACACACACAGAGTATATTATGTAACAGATGACCCTCATTAAAGGGTTAACCTCACTGACTTTCTCTGGAAGGTGTTTTTGATTAATTTGGTCTCATTGTTAAATCATGTTAACAATGTGACAATGAGCTGATATGATTCATATCATATCATATTATATTATATTAAGATTATGAATTTAAAAACTGTTACAATCTGTGGGTTTAATTATCAAAATGTGTTTGTTGTTTCAGACCGCAGAGGAGATTGATCAGCTGACTGTGGATGAAGACCTGAACGACATTGAGAGAGCCGTCTACCTGCTCAGGTAAGAGCTGAATACCTGCTCAGGTAAGAGCTGAATACCTGTTCAGGTAAGAGCTGAATACCTGTTCAGGTAAGAGCTGAATACCTGTTCAGGTAAGAGCTGAATATCTGTTCAGGTAAGAGCTGAAAAAAACCCAACATTAGCATAAAGATCAACACAGCCAAGTTAGCCCCTTTAAGCATGACCTAAGCTTAGTTAGCGACCGCTACACATTTGTTTTAAGTCGATGAAGATTCAAGTAGTTGGCTATTATGAAATGTTGGGTTTCCATCCTTAGTCTTATAAACGCTACATATAAGAGGAAAGTATACTTACATGTGGACACGAAAGCATTTGCATCGTCCATGTTTTTTGTTTTCGTGATCCAACCTGCCAATATTTAGAAATACTGGGAGATGATTTTGATCCTTGACTGAGAAAAGGGAGATTTTATTTTCAGCATTATTCTGATCTAGATTCCAAGTCTTGAAATACCTGATGTCAGATGTGGAGTCCCTCAGGGTTCAATTTTAGGTCCTTGGTTGTTTAATCCATAAATAGTCACTTGAGATGTATATTTCCTCTGTTATCAGTGTGGGTCAGGAGGTGCAGAGAGCGAGCGTCATCAGTAACCTGCCGAGCCTCGTCCGTCAGAATCCAGCTGAGACATTCCGTCGGGTCGTACCAAAGGTCCGGGTATGTACACAGTAAAATTAGTCAGAATTATATCAGCGCTGTCGGTACTACAGGTGGGCAGCAAGTGGACAGTCAATTCGGGAAATGACGGGTGTGTCATTCAGGTAACCTGTCTGTCTGACTCAGGAGGTCTTGAATGGAGCTGGAGCAGAGATCCAGCTGGCAGCGGCGGCGTCGTTCTTAACCATCCTGCAGGATGACATCATCCTGATCCACACTCACACTTTCTCCATCCTGAAGACCGTCCTGCTGCACCTCAACCACCGAGACACAGGTAACATGTACATGAACCACAGACACACAGGTAACATACAATGAACCACAGACACACAGG